GTGCGTCTGGGTCCTCTGTCTCCTCCTCCTCCTCTACCAGATGCTCCTGCTCCTCCACTCCTGTCCGCTGAGTGGAAAAACCACCCATTTCACTCAATAATTCCTGAGCACCAATGTCCTCCTCTACCTCCTCCTCTTCTTCCTGTCCTGCCCCCACAGGGGTCATGTGGCGTTGAGATCTGTGCGCCACGTCTACCGCACCCTGACCAGCCATTGTTAACAGCATTTGTTCCAGGACGTGCAACAGAGGAATGACGTCGTTCATCCCATAGTCCTGCCGACTCACGAATAGCGTGGCCTCCTCAAAGGGCCTGAGCAAGCGGCAGGTGTCACGCATGAGCTGCCAATGGCTGACATCGAAGTTACACAGGGGAGTACCTTTATCCGCTTGTAACATCAGGAAATCGGTGATGGCCTTTCGCTGTTCGTAAAGGCGGTCCAACATATGTAGGGTTGAATTCCACCTTGTTGCAACGTCGCAGATCAGGCGATGCTGTGGAATTCCGTTCTGCCGCTGCAGCTCAAGGAGGTTGTGCTTTGCGGTGTAGGAATGGCTGAAATGCATGCAAAGTTTACGTGACATTTTCAGGATGTCTTGCAGTGGGATGGTGGATTTTAGGAACCGCTTGACAACCAGATTGAACACGTGAGCCATGCATGGCGCATGGCACAACCTTCCTTGACGCAAAGCAGACACCATGTTCTTTCCGTTGTCGGTCAACATGGTTCCGATTTTCAGTTTGCGCGGAGACAGCCATCTGTCGATTTCTCTGTTCATTACACTCAGAAGTTCCTCCCCTGTGTGACTACGTTCGCCAAGGCATACCAGGTGCAGCACAGCGTGACACCGTTGTGCCCTGCACATGTGATATGCCGGTTGGGTAATGGGACTTGGCACGGGGGTGGCGGCTGAGGACACGGCGGAAGAAGAGGCGGTAGAGGCGGACATCTTTGCTGGACCAAGGACGTGCAAACGTGGAGGCAAAAGTGGCGTGACCTGTCCAAGTTGCTGGTGCAGCTGTGCCGGCACCACGTTCACCCAGTGGGCCGTAAATGACATGTACTGTCCCTGACCGTAGTTACAGCTCCACACGTCGGCGCTGCCGTGCACTTTGGCAGAGACCGACATGCTCAAAGACTGGCCCACCATCTCTTCTACATGTGAATGCAGGGCTGGCACTGCCTTTTTGGCAAAGAAATGCCGGCTTGGCACTCTCCACCGCGGCGCGGCACAAGCCATCATTTCTCGGAAAGGTGCTGAGTCCACCACTTGGAAAGGGAGGGACTGCAGCACCAGCAACTTGGACAGGAGGACGTTCAGCTTCTGCACCGTCGGGTGCGTGCTCGCAAACTGTTGTCTCTTGGAAACGGATTCCAAGAAAGACTGCTGACGGAATCCGTGAAGAGGAGTAGCAGGAGAAGGAGCATCTGAACGAGCGGAAGATGCCAACAAGCGACAACTCCCCTCAGCAGAGGTGTTGGAGCCTTGACTGGCTGATAGAGGGCGATTGACGTCGGGTGACAGAGCAAGTAACGGAGCGGGTGATGGAGCGGGGGCTGGGGCAGGCAGAACCACCGTATCTTTATCACGGTTTTCCCAGGCCACCGAATGGCGACGCTGCATATGCTGACGCAATGCTGTAGTCCCAACATGGGCCCCCTGGCCACGCTTGACTTTCTGGCCACATAGTCGACATACGGCTACGTTTACTTCCTCGGGCGGCTTGACGAAAAATTGCCACACCGCCGAGTAGGAATCTTTGCCCCCGCTACTCCTCACTGGCTGACTGCTACTTCCTCCGTGCACACCGGCACCACTACTGGCTGTGGTGGTCGGCTGCAGTGGAGCTGGTGCTCTACTCCGTGGCCGTTTGCCTCCACTGACACTGCTGCGACCCTGCTGCCTCCTGGGCAACCCACCGACTGTTTTGCTCGCTGCCAAGCTGGCACCCTCTTCTCCTGATGATGCGGAAGCAATAGCCTGATGACGACGAGGCTGCCAAGTGCGATCAGCCTCATCATCATCAATTAGGGTCTCCGCCTCACTACTAGCCCCCTCGGCTGCGTGTGGGTCAGGAGACAGACCTGTCTCTAGACCGGCTACCGAGCCACTCTCCTCGCCAGTACTTCTTCGCCTGGCTGCTGAAGAGGCGGATGTCTCCCCCCGTTCCTGACCGCCCTCTGTTAGCTCTTCCTCACTGTACAGTGGGGCTGAGCCCACAGCATGCGATACTTCGCTTGGTGAGGGAACACCAAAGGACAGGGGCAGGTAGAGGACACGTGATTTCAGTGGGCTTGCTCCCGGGCCATGCCAACTAACGGTTGTGTCTGACGTACCCACCGACCGTTGGCTGTAGGTGTCAGAGGTGACCTGGGAAGAGGAAGACGACCGAGCCAACCAATCGATGACGGCAGGGTTGTCGGTGGAGACACGACCGCTGGATGACACCGGGAGCACTGGCCTCTGGCTGCGACTAGTGCTGCCTCGACCCCTTCCTCTGCTGCCACGTCTGCTCGCTCCTGAAACATTGCCTCCTCTGCCACTCCTCTGCGTGTTGTCTGACATACTCTTTAATTCAACGATTCTGTGTCCCTGAGTAACGATTCTGTATCCCTCAGTAACGATTCTGTGTCCCTGAGTAATGATTCTGTGTCCCTGAGTAACGATTCTGTGTCCCTGAGTAACAATTCTGTGTCCCTCAGTAACGATTCTGTGTCCCTGAGTAACAATTCTGTGTCCCTGAGTAACGATTCTGTGTCCCTGAGTAACAATTCTGTGTCCCTCAGTAACGATTCTGTGTCCCTCAGTAACGATTCTGTGTCCCTGAGTAACAATTCTGTGTCCCTGAGTAACGATTCTGTGTCCCTCAGTAACGATTCTGTGTCCCTCAGTAACGATTCTGTGTCCCTCAGTAACGATTCTGTGTCCCTGAGTAACGATTCTGTGTCCCTCAGTAACGATTCTGTGTCCCTCAGTAACGATTCTGTGTCCCTGAGTAACGATTCTGTGTCCCTGAGTAACGATTCTGTGTCCCTCAGTAACGATTCTGTGTCCCTGAGTAACGATTCTGTGTCCCTGAGTAACGATTCTGTGTCCCTGAGTAACGATTCTGTGTCCCTGATTAACAATTCTGTGTCTGTCCCTGAGTAACAATTCTGTGTCCCTGAGTAACAATTCTGTGTCCCTGAGTAACGATTCTGTGTCCCTGAGTAACGATTCTGTGTCCCTGAGTAACAATTCTGTGTCCCTGAGTAACGATTCTGTGTCCCTGAGTAATGATTCTGTGTCCCTCAGTAACAATTCTGTGTCCCTCAGTAACAATTCTGTGTCCCTGAGTAACAATTCTGTGTCCCTGAGTAACAATTCTGTGTCCCTGAGTAACGATTATGTGTCCCTCAGTAACAATTCTGTGTCCCTGAGTAACAATTCTGTGTCTGTCCCTGAGTAACAATTCTGTGTCCCTGAGTAACAATTCTGTGTCCCTCAGTAACAATTCTGTGTCCCTGAGTAACAATTCTGTGTCCCTGAGTAACGATTCTGTGTCCCTCAGTAACAATTCTGTGTCCCTGAGTAACAATTCTGTGTCCCTGAGTAACAATTCTGTGTCTGTCCCTGAGTAACAATTCTGTGTCCCTGAGTAACAATTCTGTGTCCCTGAGTAACGATTCTGTGTCCGTGAGTAACAATTCTGTGTCCCTGAGTAACGATTCTGTGTCCCTCAGTAAACAATTCTGTGTCCCTGAGTAACAATTCTGTGTCTGTCCCTGAGTAACGATTCTGTGTCCCTGAGTAACAATTCTATGTCCCTGAGTAACAATTCTGTGTCCCTGAGTAACGATTCTGTGTCCCTAAGTAACGATTCTGTGGCCCTAAAGTCTCTGTGGCCCTAACTCTGTCCCTAATACACAGAGGTCTGTCTCTCTTGAATGACTGGAGGCTAATGGAAAATTCTAAGATGGCCGCGATTTATAGCTCCACCATTACACAGTGCTGGCTGGCTGGCTGCTGATTGGCTAATGCGATCACATGTCATGAATGAATGCATTATGGGTCAGCACGCCTTGTCTGCGCGCCTTCCCAGAGATCCCCGCTCCGTCGCCACACATGTCGCCGCCATTTTTGGGAAAATTCGATTCGTGCATCCGAAGTTTGCTAATTTTTTGGATTCGGCGCGAATCGAATATTTCCTAATCTTCGAAACGAATTCCCACTTCGTCATGTTCGATTCGCTCATCTCTAGTGGTTACACCCGATAATTTTAAATTTTTGGAGGTGAAATATTATGTAAATATTATTAGAAATATAGTTGGGGACGGATATTATTATTATTATACAGTATTTATAAAGCGCCAACAGTTCGCTCAGCGCTGTACATTACAATGGGAGACAATACATGAGACAGTACAACAAGAATACAATGCGATACACAAGGGTTCGAGGGCCCTGCTCCTTGGAGCTTACAATCTAGGAGGGAGGGGATAGTGGTACAGGAGGAGATAGCTGTGGGGGATGGAGTGGTAGGAAGAGTGGAGGAGATCGGCAATTAGCAGGGGGGGGTAGGCTTCCCTGAAGAGATGGGTTTCAGGGTGCTCCTAAAGGAGAGGAGAGTAGGTGAAAGTCTGATGGATTGGGGTAGGGAGTTCCAGAGGATGGGTGATGCCCTGGAGAAGTCCTGGAGGCGGGCATGGGAGGAGGAGACCAGGGAACTAGAAAGAAGGAGGTCTTGAGAGGAGCGGAGTGTGCGTTTTGGGTGGTATTTGGATATCAGGTCTGTGATGTAGTTTGGGGCAGTATTATGGACAGCTTTGTACGTCAGTGTTAGGATTTTGAATTTGATCCGTTGGGCAATCGGAAGTCAGTGGAGGGATTGGCAGAGGGGGGTGGCGGAAACGGAGCGGTTGGTAAGGTGGATGAGTCTGGCTGCCGTATTCAGGATCGACTGAAGCGGGGATAGCCTGTGGTGAGGCAGGCCAGTGAGGAGGAAGTTGCAGTAATAAAGTTGTGATATGATGAGGGAGTGGATGAGCTGTTTAGTGGTTTCTTGGGTTGGGAATGAGCGTATTTTGGTGATGTTGCGGAGGTGGAGTCTGCATGAGTTTGTTAGCGATTGGACTTGGGGCTGGAAGGATAGATTGGAGTCAAGACCAGGGGCAGACTGACCATTTGGAAACTCGGGCACTGCCCTAGGGCCCGAGGTCAGTAGGGGGCCCCATGAGATGCTCCTGGTACCTTTTTCATAGGCTTTTTGGAGTTTGGGCAAGGACACAGGGGCCCCATGATCCCCTATTGCCCAGGGGCCCCATGAGTTGTCAGTCCGCCCCTAGTCAAGAATGACACCAAGTACTCTGGCTTGCGGGGTGGGCCTGATGGTGGCATTGTTGGACGTGATGGAGAAGTCAGTGGAGGATAGAACCTCAGTCAGATTTGTCTTGGTGACCACTCTCATTGGAACTGAAAGTGAGGGAAAATCCAACATTTTAGGTTGTCACCAGAACAACAATAGGAAAATACTACAAACAGTAAACTTGCTCTAGTGACAACAGCCTAAGAGGGCATTTCCCTCACTTCGGAGAAATTCCCTTTTTTTCTGTTGTCTACACAGGGCTTTACAAAATTTCCCTAAAGGAAAGCAGATGACAAAAAATTCTGAGTTTTTTTTTTACCATTTCCTACTCTATCCAGCATGAATAAAAAACGTTTTGGCTTTAGACATAATTTAAGGATATTGCCCTCCACACAGTAGAATGCAAATGGATTGTCCAGGTGAGGGCTCTGTAGAAAGTTCCATCATTTTGATGTATCTTAGATAGTATTGATGGACTAATATGTATTATTAGAGGTAATCTTTCATAGATTGACCAATTAGTAGTTGCTGTGGAAAAATCCTCGAGTCTACTTGCTAACATTTTTACTAATAATAAAGTCTGCCTTTAGGAGAAAGACTGAAAGGTACTTAGTTCTATGATTTTTATGTGGCATTGGTATGGGGTTTCATTTACCTGCAGTATTTACAAGGGTTGGGGTTTTTCTTTAAAATTAAAGAGGAGATCTAAATAGCTGCATGAATTTTGCTCTCTGTTTTTTTCTGTGTTTGAAAGAACCCTGAGGAAATCATAGGAAATCATGAAGCTGAACTCTCAACAGATTTAAAAGACAAAAATTAATGCAGCTCTGTAATCATTAATACATAATTAAATGTATTTTATAAATGCTAGCAGTGTAAGTAGGATCATTTGACTTGGTATCTGTCTCTTGCAGTCCCTGTACAGGAGTGCAGAGGTGTGAAAGGTAGAAGCAGCACATGAATGCCAATAAATTCATGTTTTGACAAAAAGCATGCTGATAGGAAGAGAAAGCAGAGTGACAGAGAGATGAGCTCATCAATGTGCTGCTTCTCATTTCACTGTTCATTCAAGTCCAGCAGGAAGTTCATTTAATAATGCTGGTCATAAGACTGAGGAAATAATAGCAGCAGAACAAAGTACTGTGGGGGAAAATCTGAGGAATGTAGCTGAATATTGTCTAGAGTTCTGCTTTAAAGTAGTTTTAATCCCCAAACCAAAAATGTAATATACTGCAACTTACACATCATTAGATGTGGTGGCTGCATTAGTTTTCATTTTTTAGGCTTTTCCCCTGCTTTCACCTGGTGATCTGGCCAGTAACACACCTCCTGTATTAGAATGCCTCCACTCTGGATGAAGTAGCACAGGGTGCACCTTTGGACAGCAGCATTTTTATTCTTGGCAGAGGGGAGTATTAGATGTACTAACAGATTTATATTCAAATAGTTTTTATTAAAGTTTCAACATACAAAAGTAATATATGATAGTCGATAATCGATCATTTTTGGTTCACATTGAGAATAACATTATATGAAAAATAAGAACGAAAGTAAAGTGGAGGTTCCCCACCGGGTGGCCGGGGAACCTGTATTTCCGTAATTCAGTTACATAAGAGGTATGCTCGTATGTTGTGAACCATTCTAGGAGACTAGTGGGTACTAGCAGATTTAAATACACTAACAAATTGAATCCAAACTCCAGCTAATATTTTATAACCAGTTGCATCAAACAGTTTTGTGTTCCTTCTTTGGGATAAAGGTTTTTTATAAATTCATAAAAGCTGATCATTGTAAGCACCCCAGCTAGTGTTAAATGGTTTGTGTCATCTCTGTAACTGATACATTCTGCAGGACAGTTTTTTTTCTTTTGAAAAAAAAACAGACTTAATGGCTGCATGACCAGATGAAAATAGAGAAATAAAAAAGAAAAATAGTGTGCTGCTATATAGTAAATGTTTGCTTTTGGGTTCAATCCCACTTTAAACCATCCAGAAGGCTTAAAAATTAGTTGACAAAATATGTTTGTTCCCCTTTACTGACACACTTCCTCTACTGACTACCTCTCTCCTGCAACTGTGTGATGCTATATGGGGTTCCTCCTATTCACTACAACCCCTAGTTCCCACCAGGTCTACCATCTTCCTCAATACAGATATTATCACAAAAATGCAAATCTGCCATATTCTCTGACCAGACTGTAATCAACTGAGATCACCATTTAAACCGCAGTCTTAACCCGCCATGAAAGAGTGGTACCAGACATGACAACTTTCTGATTGTATCAGGTCAATATCAAAGGAAAACCAATGTGTAAACAGGGTTGAGAACAGGCTCTGGGATGGCAGCTATCAGAGGAAGAATAGGTTAAGGCATACGTTCTAACACACTCTTTATCCTATCAAACCAATATGCGGAGAAAAAAAAAATTTACTTCTATCTAAGTGCTACAGATGCCCAACCATCTTGCAAATTATGTTGCCATCATCCAGGGGCCTAACTAGGGTTAGCGTCACCTGGTGCGGTAAAACATGGTGTCACTCCCCCCATTATTTCTTTCCCATATAACACTGCATATAAATCCCCCCAGCCTGTCACAGTGCTTTGGCGCATCAGGTCCTCTCCTGTCTACCCTGCCACAGTGCCCTACAGGTCACTGGGCAGGCTAGTTTTGGGCAAGCAGCACACACTCACTGTATATACAGCAGGGGCGGACTGACCATTTGGAAACCCGGGCACTGCCCAAGAGCCCAGGGTCAGTAGGACCATGAGATGCCCCTGGTACCTTTTTGATAGGTTTTTTTGAGTCTGGGCAAGGACACAGGGGCCCCATGATCCCCTATTGCCTGGGGGCCCCATGAGTTGTCAGTCCGCCCCTGATATACAGTGCTGAAATGAAGCATGCAGCAGTTAATTCAGCAAGAGTTAACTTTTAGATGTTAATGGCGTATTCAGGTAAAGCAGCACATTAGTAACAGAGGTTCTGGAGCGTATAGATACCAGGGGCGGACTGACAACTCATGGGGCCCCCGGGCAACAGGGGATCATGGGGCCCCTGTGTCCTTGCCCAAACTCAAAAAAGCCTATGAAAAAGGTACCAGGGGCATCTCATGGGGCCCCCTACTGACCCTGGGCCCTCGGGCAGTGCCCAAGTTTCCAAATGGTCAGTCCGCCCCTGATAGATACTATGCTAAGATGGTATATACAGTAAAGCAGTTAATTCAGAGTTAACTTGTAGGTGTTAATAAAGTGTTCAAGAAAAGCAGCACACAAGTGGAGTTAGCTGACACACACAAGAGTTTCTCTCGAATAGATGGTTGGATAATACAGCTAGAGGGTACAGAACATATACTGTAGATCCACATGTCAGGTTCACTGCTAATGTTCACAGATGTGTGCTTTGCTTGATGTCTTTCTCACCCAACCCTGGTTGTAACTTACTATTGCTGAGCGCTCAGTATCATTCATCTCCATATGAGTATCCTTCTCTTGCCACGTGTGCTATGGTACCTCTCATAGATGGTAAAATCACAGGCCATTACTGCACTGTAAATTGCACCAGCTCCAGCATTCTCATCCAAGACTAGGAGGTGGGTCAAGTAACATCAGGCATCATACCACTGACATCAACGTGTTTCACCAATAAGACATACAGATAGCTTCCCCCTGGACATACTGGCTGGTGGAGACTTCAGTCATTTTAAAGGGAAGGCATGCTCCCACCCATCATTTATTCTTAAAGGGGAACATCCGCCTACTTAAAGATACCGTATGTCATTTTTAGTCTTTCAGTGAGTCTACTCTAGTGCAAAAACCACTAATATCTCTTCACCCAGACAAACCCAGAGAGAACAAATGTTCACTTTCATTATATAGATACTGTGATTATTAGATCAAAAGATCTAAAAAGAGTAATCACATTCATTTTAGCCATAAAATTACTTCCTACCAGGGGTGGGCTGACAACTCATGGAACCCCTGGACATTAGGAGATCAATGGACCCCCAGCTTTAAAGATGGCCACTGGCAGTCATCTTTATGATGCAACATTATAGTGGCTTGTGACCCAATAAAGGTATCGAGAGCCTCTTATGGACAGTGCCACCTAACAGCATTATGAGCTCCTGGGCAAACTAATGCATTGGGGCCCCTAACGAGAAGATGGTGCTTTGTGGACCGGCCGCCAGGAAGAAGTTTGGGAAGTGGCTTCTTCTCTTCTTGTGACACTGGACACGCGTGTCAGGTGTGTAGTGTCAGACTCTGATATGTGGGCTGAGGTGACTGAGAGTGGGCGGAGTTACATCAATAGCCGCTGCTTTACCACTGAGCCAGGGTAGGGAGAGAAGACTTTAAAACTATGCGGCCATTAGCTCTGCTGGCCGGTCATCCCCGCAAGATTTCACCAATCCCATCCTGGCACCGGCCTTGGCTGTCACTCTCAGCAGCTGCTGCAGTGAGAGCTGCAAAAGATCAGTTTTCAGTCTGCACTGATCACACTGCCCTGTTCATGGGGCCCCCTATTGGCCCCCAGTCCATAGTTGGTGCCCAAATTCATGAATGGCCAGTCTGCCCCTGCTTTCTACTCTTCCTACTTGATGGTGTTACCCCTCTTGCACGTGTCACTTGGGTGCAGTCCGCACTCCCCGCACCATCATAGCGATGCCACTGCCATCATCATCTTCTGACACCTGCTGGATGGAGATGCCAACAATATCAAGGGGGCTATCTCCACATCTAGTGAAACTGCATGAAAATTCAATCAGTCTGGCATTCTGCCTTTCAAGTATAAAATAAATTGCAATCAACAAATGTATAAAGTGCACTAGAAGTAACTTTACTCTTAGTGCTTTTGAGCTCACTGCAGTCCATGTAAGGAGATATCTTAAGACGCTGTCTAGTACCGGCTCATACCACAATATTCAGACACTGGAAAAGGGCTGCTATACCACCACTATCCTCCTGGGCTGCAATCATGAATGATCTGATGCATATTTTTATCCTGATAGTAGAAGATACAGATAAGATCAGGGGCGGACTGACAACTCATGGGGCCCCCGGGCAATAGGGGATCATGGGACCCCTGTGTCCTTGCCCAAACTCAAAAAAGCCTATGAAAAAGGTACCAGGGGCATCTCATGGGGCCCCCTACTGACCCCGGGCCCTTGGGCAATGCCCGAGTTTCCAAATGGTCAGTCCGCCCCTGGATAAGATAGACCTTTCCAGCCTCACCTGGTTAAGCTGGGCCATGTTCAGATCCTTTCAGGTTTTTCAAGTCACATCTTTAGTTCCTATATCTCCAATGGTGGGGAAAAAAGCATGTTTTTCATGATGTTGGAGGGCTGCAATTCTAAAAATGAACCTACTTGCTAGAGTACTGTATTTGCTGCATGCTATCCCTTTCAGAATCCCTTCAGCTTTTTTTGTTCACCACTGAAACTTTTTAACATGTACATTTGGAAGAATGCTACTCCAAGAAAGTTTAGTGAAGCTTTCTCTCCCTAAAGTGGTTCTAAAGGTCAGAGGTTTCTCAACTTACCTTAATGCATTCTATTAAGCAGCCCCCAGCCCCCACCTTATACTTACCTGAGCTCGATCTTGATCCGGCAATGTCACGAGAGCAGTGGCTCTCCTCATTAGACAGAGAGGCAGCAGTCAATCACAGCCAGTAAGCAGGGAATGGAGGCGGGGCTAGGCCAGGTCGGTGTGTCGAAACTGAGCATGCACGTGTGCCCCCATGGCAAGTGCCTTGCTATGGGGCACTCAGCAGGTTAGAGGAGCCAGGAGAACCAGCAGGGTACCTGAGAAGAGGAGGATCAAGGCTGCTCTATGCAAAAACATTGAATTGCATAGAGCAGGGAAGTATACCATGTTTTTTTTTTGTTTTTTTACCTTTAGAATCAATTAAGTCTAAAGGAGAAAATGGTTTCCCAATTTGTCATTTGAGCAGACTGGTGGATTGGCATGCCCATGTTGCCTGCAAACTAAAGGGACAGGAACACACATGGTGGATTTATCTGTGTTTCCTAAGTCTACACATGTGGCTCAACAGTAAGTGCTGTAAGTGCTGTGGAGTCTTAAAGGGACACTTATCTCATGAGACTGGAGAATATGGATTGATTGAGGTGAAAAGCAAAGAAAGTTTTAAAAAATCCCTATCCATTTAACAATGTGGTGGCCTTCCCTTCACCCTGCTCCTTTACTCGCTTTTTTCTTTATTCCACCTTCCCTCTTTCCGCTCCTCCCCCTCCTTTTTTTTCTTTTTTTGTTTCCTTCTTTTTTCCCTTATTTTCTTTCCTTTTCCCTCTTTCTTTCATTTTTTTGCTCTAATACTTTAGGTTATTCCCTTTTTGGGATTTTGTGGTAGGGGGCATCACCTTTTGTAGCTCTCTAGCTACATCACCATACTTTACAGTAGATTAACAGAGAAACATCTATATATTGTATGAAAGCCCTAACAACTACAAACCCCCACTCTCCTAAGCTGAAGTTCCTCCTTCCAGTACAAATCATCCCCTCCTCCAAAATGCCCTTATCCCCAAAATCTCTATTCCCAGCATACATCCTCATCCCTCCTCCCAGTGTCTTCTCTCAGCATAAATCTTCATTCCCACTCCCTCCTCACAGGTCACTATGGCCTCCAGTATAATTCCATTCTCTATCCCTGAACATACCAGACCTCATATATAGTGTGGCCAGCAAGGGAATTCCACCCATGATCCCCTTTTGACTCGTGTCATGTGACACATCAGAGCTCAAGAGGAGCCTAGAGAAGCTTCTCTCAGCTCTGTATTCTATTAACAGGCATCATGGTAGGGAGAGATACTGGCTGCTGCAGTGGCAGGTGGCCATGGCATTGGTACCTGGGGTACCCAACAGGAGATGTGGGGACATGTGCCCTGGGAGACCAGTGGTAGTGATGCCTCTGTGCTCAACAATAAACATGTGTACATATGTGTAGATAAGGGCAGTTATGCTAAAGCTGTGGTCCTCAAACAGCCTGCAGGTTGCCATAGCATGCCCCACTCAAAGAGAAGGCCCTGCATGCAGGGTGTTCTCATTACAAGCCACATTGGGGGAACTGCTGTGTCTTGAGTGGCAGTTGGTGCCAGGTGTTGGTTACCTACATGGAGAAGGGGAATTTTTTTATCCCTCTTATTATCAATGTGTGGGCATTTCTACTCACTCTCACCTTCAATGCCAAAGCCTTTTTTACTCCTACCAAACAATGTGCCAGACAGCGATCGTAGCCTTTGAAAGGGTTGGGGACCTTTGTGCCAAAGTGTAGATCTGCAAAGCAGTAACCTGGGACACCCTCACCAAAGACATAGCCTGTCTGCTAGTGGACCTGAAAGGATACACAAAAGCTGGTCCATAACTGTTTGGAAAAAAAGGGTTAAAAAAAGTGTAAAACTTTGTGATAGTTTATGTAGAACAACACTGAAATAGATTGCTGATATACTAAGAACTAGCTTCAGTAAGAAGAAGAATGGTGTGCAACTAGTACAGATGAAGACACTAGTTTACGGATGATGAGAACATGAATGAAAAAAAAAATACTCTGTCTAGTAGTGGTGAATGCTGTGAGCATTAGCACTGATGTGCTGAGGTCTAGCATGGGTCAAGAAGAAGCAGCAGGGTGGATATTAATGAAAGCTTAGAGCAGCACATAATACAGCGTTCGACTATGTGTTCTTGAAAATTGGGAGCATTAGGGATGTTGTTGTGATCAGAGGGATTGCACTTGGACAGACTGCATATTACCAGAACATTTATTTATTATGGGTTATTATGATAGGGCTGATAATTTACACAGTTTATGCATTTCTTTAAATATGCAGTATATCAGACATTAACATCACTCCTTGCCCTCAAGCTTACACTCTAAGTCCTAATTCATATTCATACATACATATACTATGGCCAAGTTAGACTGGAGCAAAATAGGAAACTGGAATACCCAGAGGAAGCCAATTCAAACACAAGGAGAACACGCAAACTCCAGTCAAGTGATTGAGTTGGGATTTGAATCAATCCAAAACATGGGTGGGATTTGAAAAAATGACCATCAAAACATTCCGTAATTCAACTTTATTGTAAAGTCACCAGTAGAAGCAAATGTGAAGAATAAGCAGCAGAAATATACGGTATATAAGTGAGCGCTCCTAGAAAAAAGTTGCTGGCACCAAAAAAGTGTGACACACCAACCTTGGAAAATAATAAGCAAAAAAAACTAGTGCAGTGTTAAATTAAGTAACACATAAAAAAAATCATCAATCATCAATACATAATATATGTGCATAACAATCCAAATATCAGTCCATATATCATTTGGGGCAA